TTCATAACCAATTCCTAGCCAGTTCCACAACGGATACCACATGCAATAATTTGAAATCAACACTAGTACGATCGACTGCTAAGGTTATGCAACTCCATAATGACGAAGTAGTCGTTTAGGATTCAGTACACACTTCCTACCATTTACTAACTATTGCACATCGCTTGAGGGTGTGACCGGGTAGACTTCGTCACCTCTTATCTTCCGTTGTTTCTTGTGTGAATTACTCGATGCATGACGCTGTCGCCTTCCTTCGTTGGCACGGTTATTTCGGTGATCCGCAGGTTATCGTTATGATATTCGGTATATTACTGGTTTAGTATTTGTAACATCATAACTGCAAAATTATTTGTAATAGCATGCATCCAGTGTGTAGCATGTGTTCCAATGTTCTTGTACCTAGTTTGCTACATGTATTTTTTATATTACGCGTCACTGTAACGCATGCTTTGTTTGATTTTTGTACCTATTAAATTCATTATCAGCTACAATACTTTCGTGCAAATCATTTGTACGAATTGCTGAGCCGTTCTAAATTCTATGTATAAGGAATCCTCGCCAGCTAATAAGTGAGATAAAACACTTCACAGCGACTAGCTCCACCTGTTTATCCCAACTCGCTGATGCACCTCCAATCAAATTTTCCAGAAGATAAACTTCTACACCAAATACAAATTTTCCGAAATGAATTTCAGTATCTACAGAAAGTTGTAACCATTTAGCTATGCGGTCTCCTGTAGGCATGACGTCGTAACGTGCGACCTTGTTAGCAATAAAATCCACTGGGAAGCGCAAAGCAAACGTAAGCAACTGCCAGTTATCAGAAGTGTGCTCATCTCATGTTCATCCGCCTACCTGCATTCAACAATCCGGATAATCAAGTCTCCTGCAAACATGACATCCATCCTTATAGCATCTCATGTATAACTACAGACAAATGTGAAATCGGTGGTGTGCGCGACCAATCACCAGCCCTGCGAAAGCAAATGGATGCGAATACTCAAGAAATGCACTTTAGTTTTAGTGACTAATGTAGCCGGCATTTGACATTAGCCCACCTCGGTTAAATACGTAGTTTGATGATTTATGTTTCCCCAGATACTGAGCGAACAATCATTAAAATACCAAGGTTCTCCACTGAAGAATTGGCGTAGAAATATTTGTATTATTTTGGGCGTCATCCACTGAACGCCGTTTACGCGGCGATCTGAAACTAGTGCACTTGATTTTACACAATCCAAATCGTGTATGCCGCCATTTACAACACACACAAGTAATACTAATTGCGGAATCACCGCTTGAAAACAGCGGAAGCGTACAGCAGTCTGACATGCCATAAAAATATCTTTCTTATTCCCGTGTGTCACCCGAATCTGTCATTTCCGCACTTACAGTAGCCAAATTTTACATTCAGTTGGATGGCTCTCATTTAGTTGCATTTTGTTAACTAGCGCAATTGCTTCGTCTTACTCACAGAAATAAGTTGGCTTCCTTAGCTGTTGTTTCTCGTAGTCTTGGAAATCCGCGGAGTGTAGGCTTGCCACAATAAAACTGTGCGTCTCCAAGCAGTGCGAATTCTAATTGCCTTATTTGTGGGCAATTTTGATGTACTTTTTTCTGAGTGAACTGCCGTGCGCAGTCGCATGTTGACCGCGGTTCCGGTTGAAGTTTACCTGAACTAATGAGACTTTGTCTTTGATTCTTTTCTCGCATTTCTCTGAAATGCTAAACATCTCAAAAGAGCAGCTCACTCTTGCTGACCCCATGGCTGCCCATGGATCACCACCGATTGTTGATATGTGCTTAATGGTAAAGGAACTAGGAATTGAAGTTTGTTAAAGAAGTTTAGAATGTTTCTCTGTAACGACTGACGAGAAAATATCGGTAAAACGCGTACTTGTTTGTTAAAATGTGTCTCGAGACATCCGCTGCAATAATAGCTTGAAACAGCATATATGTTGTAGGTAAATATTTCAAACCTGCTTCATTTATCCCGATATTCTACATTACTTGCGTATAAGTGGGATGAAAGGTAAGGTGTACATAGGCATCTACATAACCAAATCAAACCATCAATTCTCCATTACAAAATGTATATATATATATATATATATATATATATATATGTATATCCTGCAGTGGTCCTGGTATTAAATTTTAACCACTAGACCCTCAGCACCAATCCAGAGCAAGCTATCTCCATCTGCTGATGATGGTGAGAACGAAACCAGTCATTTTGTGTCTGTGTTGGGATGAGTAACATCGAAACAAACCTCCAATCTCCATATGTAGTTTAGAAAAATAGAAGACCCACTGGAAACACCGGTTGGATCATAACAATGACTTCAGCCCGACAGAAAATAGTTCATGTTATTGGTGTTTCGCTTCCTTATTTACCACGGCATGTAAGTTGGAGCTTGGAGGGTTCAAGTGAATAAATCAACAAGAAGCCTTTGCTCTGCTAATTGCCTAAGCAACTCTTTGAACAGGGAAACTTTGTCCTTTGCGTGATGGTTATCCCATGTGCCAAAGATGAGACACGTATTCCACTTTTCCTTCAAAAAGAAAATGTGCTGTTTTCATCATTCGTGAGGAGAAGCAAACATCGTAGTGCCGCACCAGACATTTTGTTCACACCTTTTTCTCCTTTTATTGGATATTACAATCAATAAGCTAGGAAACAAGGTTGGTACTGTGGAGTGAGTCAACAATTCCCAGAGCTAACGTCGATTTACTGGCACAGTTGATATAACAAACAACACATAACAAACCGTTCAGTTGCTCTTTAGCTCACGTTTGTCACTCTAATTAGACATAAAAACAAGAATCCTGAATGAATCCATCACACTCAGGTAATCCGACATGCAATTGACCTACTTATGAACTATAGAGAGAATTACATGTAAGGCTTTTTTCATAGATATCCTAAACGGCGCTTGGTCGTGTAATTTTACGCATACCAGGTAAAAACTTAATCGCAAACATTCCGGCTTCATTTGTATCCCAGCTTACTCATACTCATATAACACTAACTCCGATGCATTGGAGGAGTTGCTTGGTTTACCTTTCCTTACAAAGCGTACATGTTCCGGTAGGTGTTACTATTACTGAAAGCCGGCAACAGTTACTTGTGCGTTGCGTATGCAACCCTTGAAATCGGAATTTGTCTGAACTGGTACATCTAGTAAAGTCTTTTTAACACGCAATACCATCGGCATTTATTCACATGTTGGTTGCTAGGAAGTTAACAAATCAGTGCAAAGCGGACCTAAGTGTACCGAGCTAAATACTGAAATCTTGTCTTTTGCATACAAGTGGATTATTGACAAGAAAAATTATTTGCCCATCCGAAGCAACAACATACTTGAGCTAGTTTGTACTCGTGATATACTTAATGCTTACGTGACCGCACTCAAATACTTTCAGGGAAGTGATCACCGAGTGGCGCAGTGCAAATTAAAGCTACCAATGATTAAACAGAACTTGTAACCACTTTTTAATTTTTGTTCCAAAAAGTTAATAGATTTCTTCAGAACACTCATTAGATAAATTATAAAGTGTTCTCTCTCTCAGCTCTTATTTCATAGGCGACATGCACCTTCTATGATGACATGATACACTGCGTAGAACATCTTGAACCACCGCGATATAACCTCCTTTATATCAGCAACCTATTCATCACTCATTAAAATTTATGGTGTAAACGTAAGCAAATTCTAGGTTATTTTCGTCTCAACTCACATGTCTCTCCACTTGAGCAGCAATCTTTAATCGCAGAGAGAACTAGGGCTCAGAATGACTGACAACGTTTGACAGAAAGACGAAAAGCACTGAATGACATGAACAATGTCAAACGTTTATCAAATATTCTCCGTGCACACTGGCCTGACCAAAGCATTATTGTAAATCATTTGCTCATGCAGTACGGATCATACTCTGTACACATGGCAGCTACATGTCTATTTTGCTAAAGCTTCAGTATATGAGCTTGCACCCTTGCAAAAACGTCTATTCTGCCCAACATCGCGCGAATATGTAGTGTAGAATCCGTCACTGTGATCATTATGGTACATACTTTACGACTGAAACCATCATTCTCCTTGGGACTCCAGTCCTGATTAAGCAAGCTGGTAGTAATTTCACCTCATTGCTACAACTAGATTACACAATTGCTCAATGATGGGCCGTTACCAACGCAGTGAAACATTTCAGTCGCTATACCTGGACATAAAAGATGGTCAGCTCACGAAGTCACTAACTACCGACCGATAAACCACACACCCATCAGTTCAAGAATAAAGTAAGCGATGTGTACACAGAATGATTAACATTTCCTCTGAAGCTTTCATCAGTAAGACATAACACGGTTTTATACAGACCCGGTGCTGGGCAACCTGCTAGGTAGAGTGTCTCAGCCACATAACTCTGGATGTTTTTGTCTGAAATTCAGCCGTAGTTATATACCCCCCAAATGCATAAACACTTCGATCGAGTTCGTGCCCCAGATTTAAAAACACAAGACGTTAACTGGGAAAACAATGCTTTCTTGGTGCTCACCATTTCTCACGATTATGAAGAAACTAACAACTAGCAACATTTCGTGACCTTGAGAGAAACTACGTGCTAATCGCTCACTTGTGCACTCGTGGTTTTTTAACTGTGCTTCAGTGACATTTTATCGCACATCTTTGGATCCATACTTATTCTTCGTGCTTTTACAAGCTCTACTTTTGATACCAGTATTCCGAATATACTCCCGTGCATCCTACATTTACCCACGATTATATATTCCGGGCTGTGTTTCGCCGATATCCAAGCGCCGAAAGCTGCCTAACTCCAAACATCGGAGACATTGTTTGGTCTCATTCCATAGACCATTTCAACGGCTTTCGAACGAACTGTCACGCTTTCGATTACAACGTTGCTTGATGTAGCTACAGGTCTCACAGCAAACTCGCTCAGGCGCGATCCATAGGCTTAACCACGAAAATTCTCAATCGCTTCTTCGTGCATTCTGCCCCACGTTCAAGCTGACACATTCTACTGGCACGCCAGAGAGGACAGTTTGCAAGCCCACAGTTGCAACGTGAACACTGTGACCTTACCGACAACGTCAATAACAGAACGACTTTTTACCATGGGTGTGAGTCATTCCAATGGTTCGTAACATTTGCTCAACAAGCGTGATGCCCCTTGTGCCACAGACTAAAACCTATGTGGATCATGTTCCAAACGTGGTAAGGGGAGCATTTCGTGCCGTAACTGTTGCAAGTTCTTCCATGCGAGATGCCTCCTAGTTAAACATAGTCAGGACAAGTTATTAAACGAACCAGACTCGCTATGTTTCTGTGTGGAATGCACGTCGATCCCACTGATAAAAAACGTGCTCCTATTATCTCAGAAGTATGACCAGCTACTAGCCACGTCTGAGAAATCGTAACCACTAAAATCACTACGGTTGGGGTAAGCATAGCGGACTGTGCAATCCAATCCTCCCGTTGGTTGCTGCTCCTAACCCGCGAAGAACTGCTAAAAACACTGTACGCAACATGACACCTAGAGTGTAGAACATCAACAGCTATCCCAATGCCACACGTAGCTCACATTTTACTAAAGTGGTTCCAAGTTCGATCGGAGTAACTACACGTAAGGCTACTTCCAAACTCCCGACGGAGCGCGTAGAAAAATCGCAAGGCGGTACGAGCGAAAGTTGGGTTACGGTTGCCTTTAAGAAGAGCCGTCATTTAAAATTAACATCACCCCCAACTGGATCGGAAACTGAGCAGCGTAGCAGAGCCTTCCTAGTGCAAGCACCACCGGTTTCCTTCGGTACATCTACGAGTACTACAATCATTAACCGCGACATGTCGAAAGATGTAAAGAAACAACTACCTTTACTGAGCGTACTGTGCTCCAATATCCCAGTATCAAAGTCGACATCAATAAGAAGCAGGCAGTTGGATGACATCAATCAGTGGGATATTATTAGTAACCTAATCGGAGTTGTACTGAAACCTGTACATGTAGTGCGTATTACATGACACCCCAACTCTAAGCATTTCGGAGAGACAAGACTTCTGCTCGTTGTGCCGAACATCACTGAAGTAGCGTCAGTAATACTGTCGACAGGTAGTCTCAGAAATGAGCACTGCTCCATCCGTATCTTTCCAGACATCCCATGGGGCGAGCGCTATCCAGTTAACCGCAACTTAGAGGGCTACCGGAAGGAAACTCCAACCAGAACCATATTTCTTCATGGGGTTCTTGAGACTGAAGCATGTGATGAGCATGAAGTAGCAAACCATGACAATGAACAGTGGTGTTAGATTCGTGAAAAACTCAGCTTGGATGATGTCAGCGAAATCCGTGTCACGATTGCTTACCTCACCGAAATACAAAGGAAGTGGCCCAAGAGTGCTGAACGTGGTCCTTCAGTAAAAACATATGGTAGCACGGATGCTAAAATGCTGTTACATGTTCCGTTGCAGGCTACCATCTGAGGTTCGGCTTAAGACAATCAGCGATATGACTTCTAGAGATGATATGTCACTCAAAGAACCAAACGCGATGGGATCTAGGAAAGAACAATGCACCAGTTTTTATGCTGAATGAGCCCATACAACCTGTAGAAGATGATATTGGCCAGACACGTTACAGTGTACATCGAAGATTAGACACGGGACTAACTGCACGGACGATGAATAAGACGTCAAGCCCTTTACTAAGTACACATCAAACAAGAATTAGTCGCCGGCCTCTCATTGGTCGGCGCATCTTCACGTATGAGTTGTACAACCTCCGAAACATTGCATAAATCTGAGAAACTTTCA